GCCGTACGCCTTTCCCCACACAAAGTTTGTGATCTATAAAAACAAACCTGACGGCAAAATGTGCGCACCGGTAAGCAAACTCTGACCCAGGCATACGTTCATTTTGGAGGCATGGGAAATTGGCGACACAGACGGTGAAGTGGTGAATTGAAGCCTGCAGATACATATTGATGTCTCTTTCACATTTTATTTCACTAAATATCAAACTTTACTGACAGATCCACGTCATCATAATCATTCAAACCGATGGTTTTATTTAGGCCATAATCGCGCATGTAGTGAGCTGTAGTAACTTTCATTATGACAATATATAAACAAATAAAAAAATAAAATAAAAGTCCGCCACATACATATTGCATCAGCGCCGTCTCGCCTTCATTATCCCGGACGGACCTCAGAGGACCGAACTGTACACTAATGTAATCACTGATGTAGAGTTAAAAATTAGACCAACACAAAGACCATAGAGCCTCCAGTTTTCATTAATATCTTTCAGTATCAAGCATTTATCATCAAGTGTGGTTTTTAGTTTTAATAAAGATGCCTACGTCAAGACGCACAGAGCGCAGAGACACGGCGGTGGCTTCACACATTTTGCCTTCTCGTTACTCAGCACATCTTCATAAGCTGCACGTATTTATTCTTTAAATAATTCAAGTGTGGACATTAAGTCAGGTCATCTCTGACACGATCATTAGGTCTATATATCCTCATAATAATTCACAGAGCAGACGGAGTTTCCCACGAAAAAAAGGGGCCAACAATCAAACGTTTTTGTTCGTTGATCAAACTTTTGATTACTGGTATGGTAGAGTGAGGGAGACTGCTGACTGACGTGACCTCTCTGATAATATGTATAAGTCAGTGTGGGTTCTGTAAACATGTAAATATTGTAGATATTCTCGTGCGTAATGATGAATGCTGGATGTTTTGGCACATAGGACGGCGTGAATGCAGCAGCGACGTGGTGTCACTCTCTATTTTTTCTTCAGTTTGTGATCCTCCTGCTGCAGTAAACTACCGATATGTCCATTTTATCCTTCACTTCATTCACAAACTCCTCCGTTTCTGGGTCAGAAAGTTTGGTTTCTTTGTCTAAACTTCCGGGATCCAGCGCTGGAAACCTTTGATCTGCCCCCTCGTTTGTTTGGATTTTTATTCACGAGCTGCTTTGCATTGACTGTTTATGGTTGATTGTGGGCGTGTAGAGGGCGGAACATGGGACTAATCTACATGCGCACATTTCCAGGTGGATCGTGATTTATAAAGGGAACATTGTGTGCAAGTATGCGTACGAACGGTTTTATAAATCTGAATCATTTTGTGCGCACGCCATTTCCGGGTTTTTGGCGCACATACATTTTTAGTATGGATTCTACGCACTCTTTTAGAAATGAGACCCCTGGGCCCTCATTTATTAACAGTGCGTGAGCACGGATCTGTGCGTAATGAGTGCGTAAGAACATTCCCACACAGAGTGGAGTTCATCAACTTGTACTTTTTCTTAGAAATGTGTGCAGATATAAGCACAGCTCTGAGCTTACACACAGAATCTAGCAGTAGAAGATTGAAACTACGAATAAAAAGCACTGAGTGTCACAGCACGCCTTAATCACTCTAAACGTAGATGCATGTTCTAAGTTTGCTTTAATTAAAAACCCAAGTTTGAAACAGACACATTGCCTTAATTGGTCTTAAAACCTTAAAAAGACCGCTTTTACAGGCATTTGAAATGTTACATCATGGCTCGTTTTGCATTATTAAATGATTTGGCGACCTTGAGCTCCGCAGTAAGTGCGTTTCAAAAGAGCGCACTGATCTGTTCTCTTGTGAGAGTGTCACTGTTTGATTTCTTTCCCCAGAGAGAGCTGTGCCCCCGATGATGCTGTGAATGCACTGTTTTGGGGTTAAATTGTGGAGTATTTTGGTTCAAACATTTTTTAGTTTTCTCCTCTGACCAACAGAACTGACAGAAATTGTCACCTTCTCTCATGCAGCATTTGTTCTTTTGTTTGTAACTTTGACTACGTGAAAAAAAAAAAAAACAATTTATTTGGGTCACTAAGCGCACCTTATTTTATTTTTTCAATTTATTTATTACCGTTTTCATTCAACCTCATCCACCTCCATTCTTGTTGTAATGAAGCCCCTTTTCTTTGCTCTTGTATTATTCCGGTGAGGTAAATATATTCCCATGGTTTTTAAAGAGGTGTGTTGTAACCGTAAATGGTTTAGTGGAGGCGTTTCTGATTGCAAATATGCCCAAACGTGCACGAGCCTGCTGGTTAAGAACGAGATTTATCAACACTGATTACCTCCCGATGTACATACAATCGCTGTCATGCATGTTTGATGAATTCATCTTTTTTTGTACTTTAGCACATTCTGAATTTCATTAGCAAGACAGAATGTAGAACACTTTCTACGCACTCTTGATAAATGAGACCCCAGGTGACTATATGAGTGTACAGTCATCTTTGCTCTCGTTTCTCTGGTCTGACATGCAGCATCATACTAACACAATCATTTTTATGTTCAGGATACGACCAGTGGCGGACCAGCTCGGGCCTATCCAGTGGGGGGTCTCTGCTACTACCTTTCTCCTCCTGAGTCTTTTGGTTCAGTTCTAGACGACCCGGTTCATGCTGTTATCTACATTGTCTTCATGCTTGGCTCTTGCGCCTTCTTCTCCAAAACCTGGATAGAGGTCTCCGGTTCCTCTGCCAAAGATGTAAGTTCTTGGTTGACCCTAAAGCAATTTAAAGCCGAGCTGTAAGTGTTTGATTAAACATACAGCACCTTATTGTGCTTCATGTCACATTACTTTAAACTTGTGTTCACCTGCATGTTTAATTTTCTTTGCCACAGGTGGCGAAGCAGCTGAAGGAGCAGCAGATGGTAATGAGGGGACACAGAGAGACATCTATGGTGCATGAGCTCAACAGGTACTAAGTAACCTGTCAGATAGATGCTCAGGTTTCATGTTGATTATCTTCAGCAGAAGAAAAGTTATCTTTTTCTGTTTTTTTAAAATTGCTTTCTTCTTTTCAGGTACATCCCCACAGCTGCTGCCTTTGGTGGCCTGTGTATAGGAGGCCTCTCAGTGATGGCAGATTTTCTGGGTGCCATTGGTTCGGGTACGGGAATCCTCTTGGCTGTAACCATCATCTACCAGTACTTTGAAATCTTTGTAAAGGAGCAGAGCGAAATGGGCAGCATGGGAGCATTGCTCTTCTAAAGAATACCGACCTTCAGACACAAATAATCCAACCCACATAACTTTTTTTTAAATTTTGGATTTTTTGCAATTTGCAGAATCAGTTTCTTTCCCCACTGGGATAACTGATTTCTCTCCACCACCTTTGTTTTCCACCATAACACCTCCAGCCTATGAATGCTGAGAAAACTGCTTTGGTTACTCCCAGGGTCGATCATAATGTTGTGTCTCTCTGCAGTCTTTCCTCCAATATCTACAACCTACCTGTCTGCAGGCTGCCTATGTCCCAAATGACTGTCTCATCGGATGAAGAACGCTTAAAAGCACACAAGTGTGAGGCGCTGTCTTGGACATACCTCAGGCATTGTTCTTGCAGCATGTTCATGGAACATTAAGACAGCTTCAAGATGTGCTTAATTCTAAGCTGGAAGCACTGTGCCTGGACATTTGGAGGGGATTGAAGCCATGTCATGTCACAGATAGCAATCAAGCTTTCTAGGGGCCTATAGTAGGATGCAAAAGAATAAATATAATGTGCTTATAGTCTGTTAAGGTTTCTGGTAATCTCAGACAAACTGTTGGTGGTTTTTATTTTTCCTTTATTTTGATATTTTAAACAATGGACTATGTTAATATTCACTCTGGTCTTATGTAGAGCACAGTGTTTGTCCGCTGTCTCTGGGTCCTCAAAGGAAATTGTCTATCTGTGTCGCCATGCTCTTTGTTTTTTGTTTTTCCCCAGAATGAGTCGCTGCTCAATACTGCCGAGATGGTCGGGATGAGGGTGGGTTTGATAGGGATGAAAAGGGGTTTCATTTTGGTTTTTACTTAATGTAACAGACATAATTGTGTTATTAAAAAAAAACAGGATTTGTTTTTCCAACACACTTGTTTCGATTCTCATTGTCTTCTTGTACTTTACCTCGGGTGTTAAGAAGAGACTACAACAGGGGTGGGCAACTGGTGGCCCCCATCAACCCTCAATGTGGCCCTCAGGTCAATTTTCACATATCAATGAATTGGAAACATGAAGAAAATGTGACAAAATCTGCTACGAAATCATGAAAACCAGAAATAAGTCCATAATAATATTTGATCACAGGCATATGTTGAGTTAAATTTGAGACATAATAAAAAAATTTAAATAATTGATTCATAATTCAATCGTTTTTGTATACTACAATTTTGGCCCTTTGGCAGGGAGAATTAATTGAATGTGGCCCTTGCCGTGACCAAAGTTGCCCATCCCTGGACTACAAGATGCTATTTGTTGTATGGGCCACTAGGGGTCGCTCAATATCAGTGCTATGGTAAACGTGGGGATACGGTTTCATAAACAGATTTTTGAGTTTGCATACGAAATTAATATTTACAGTCTGATAAAAACACACCACTAACAAGTTTTTCACATTTATTTATTCTTTGCGTGAAGGCCACAGAAAGGCTTACAAACGTAATGGAGCTTGTAAATGGGAGGACATTTGCTTATTCAACATTTAGTTATTGAAAATGTACAAACAATTGTTTGATTCGTTTTTTCAAAATATATCTAATTTTGAAAAATAAAAGTTACACTACAATGTAACGTAGTACATAAGTCCTCTAAAATGTAAATAGAGGGATATTTTTCAACCTATTTTGTAAAGTCTGAAACTTGGAAAAAAAACACATTCAAACATGTAAAATGTCCAGACATTTCCTCAACAAAGTGCAAATCTATATATTACAACAATTAGTAAAACGCAATTCGTATAGACTACATTTTTATAACAGTGACGTCATTATCGTGCGCCTACATGTGGACACAGGTCAGACGGGGGTATCGGCTGTTGGACGCCGGCTAGCTTGTCAAATGAGACCTGTGAGCTGTTGTTGAGTGTTTTCTTTCATAGCTGACATCTTTCATCACAGAGGACGCGGCACGACCGACAGAACATCGGCAGACATGTCTTACTGCAGGCAAGAGGGTAATTCTTTAATTTAATTTCATTCATTTACACTCCATGGCAGGGCAATGTCATCGAGCGAGCCACCAGGCTAGGCTAACTCACAGGAGGTTAGAGACATGGCGAGCAACAAGCTTAGCCTTTACGATACAAAAAGGCTGACTGCATGGTCTGATATAATGAGACCTTAAGACATTGGTAGCTGTAGTGTGTAGTGAGAGTCCTGTGGGATATGTAACTACAGAGCAGGCTAACTCAGGTCAAAGCCACTTGGCACAGTACGTCCTCAGGGCCAAACACTGCAGCTATACTTTGTATTTGTTTTTGTATTGCAAGTAAATTCACTGAACATACGACACGATATTCTTCTGTAACTGTACTTTTTTTTCTTGCCCTTTAAGGGAAAGATCGGATAATCTTTGTTACCAAGGAAGATCATGAGACACCTAGCAATGCTGAGCTCATTGCAGAGGACCCTGATGATCCTTATGAGGAACAGGGTAAGTGATTTTTTTTTTGTTGATTTTTTTAATCGTCTGCACTACTTTCAAACTCCCCTTACCTCCACATTGTAGAGTGAACTTGCTCCTATCTGGTTTCCTGTGTTTAGGCCTGATCCTGCCAAATGGAGACATCAACTGGAACTGCCCGTGTCTGGGCGGCATGGCAAGTGGACCTTGTGGTTCTCAGTTCAAGGAGGCCTTTTCTTGCTTCCACTACAGTAAGGAAGAGGTGAAGGGCTCTGAGTGCATCGACAACTTCCGTAACATGCAAGAGTGCATGCAGAGGTACCCCGAGCTTTATCCTCAGGAGGAAGAAAAAGAAAGTTCTCCACAGGCAGAATCTGATTCTGGGTCTGCTTCTGCTGCCCCGTCTGAAAGTTCTACCTTAACCCCTGAAACTGACTCTACCCCAGGTCCTGACAACACGTTACCTACTGACAACCAGACTGTCAGCTAATGTCAGTTTGTTGTCATCCAGGCCCTTGTCCTCTGTGTGAAAGCACTGCCCAGCATATGTCACCCTCCTCTGGGAGATCTGATTGGTCTCTTCTTCTGTTAAAGCCTGCAGAGGGGGATTTACCAACCTAGCTCTGACACTCACTGTCAATATGTACAGGCCATCAGAGAAGGACTCCAGGAATGCAGAGTAAAGACCTACACATGAATAAAAGTAAAGGCTACTTCATTTGCTAAGCGCTCTAATCATTTAATATTCTTATTTAAGGATGACCGATCAAGCTGTTTGCTGCAGGGACATTAGCTAATAGATTCATTCTATATGCAATATGCATTTTTTCATGTCAATCAGAAGAGCCTAATTGTGTGTTGTCCTGTTGATGTCACTGTTCAAGGATGTCACTTGCACTGATGATAGAAAATAATTATATATATATATACAAGACAGTAAACTAGAACCTGATTGACTAATGTGAGCAATGCTCAGCCTATCCTAGAAATATACAGAACCTCAAGTCTATGCAGTTTGACTATTCATTAACTTAATCAAGGACTTAGTCCCTTTTTCCATCTCTTGAGGGACCAAAACTCACAGACTTGTTAAAAAAAACAGGGCAACTATTATAGCGTCCATTCATACACATTAAAATGATACATACAGGGAAGTGAGTTGTATGGCACTTGTAGAGCCTCGTGATCTCCAGCTACTATTCATCTATTGCCATATGAGCACTGGTCATCGTTTTAGAACTGACTCCATATCCGGCCTTAAGGTGGTTTTTCATATTTCACTGCATCACTGATTTTGCTGTCTTAACACTGTCTGGTAGATCTGTGGTCACCAATGTCATTCAGGCTTTAAAAGACTTGGGTTTGATTTTCTCAAACATGCAGATTAAAATAATCATTGGACAGTTTCAGCTTACTGTTTTTTTGTCCTGTGCTTGTTTAAGTGCAAAACTTTTATGTCTGATTTTTCCTTGGTTTCATGTGAAGTAAGAATTGACAAAAACAGCTCACTGTATAGGAAAGAACTACTTCAAAGTTATTCCTGAGTTACATTGCTAATAAAAATGGAGATAAAACATTGAATGAACTATTTCTTTTACTCAACACTTAACAAGTCCAGATGTTTTGTATTGTATAGATGTGTTGTATGGAAATTATACCTTTAATGTCACATTTGCAGACATGTTTTACAATATGACCACTCAGTTATTTATGTATCTTTCTTCAAAATGTTTCCTTTTTAAAGGTGCACAGCCGTATGTAGATTTGGTTGTGAAATTTGAAAGTTGGAGAAGTGAAACAATTCTATCCTATATTTTCTGAACTAAATACACAAATTTTATTCAAAGGAAAAAATGGGTCCCTGAACACTGTTTAGAGATAAAAAGTTACCAGGAGAGTTACGGTTTCACTCTTATGGGCCCCTCACCACAACTTCTCACGTAACATTTTATCTTCAGGGTTCCAGGAACCAAATTTTCCTCTTGAGGACAGTTTGTGTATATAGTTATGGACATACAAATAATCTGTACATTTCTCCAACTTTGACATTTCTCTTCCAAAACTCCATAGTGCACCTTTAACCGAACCTGAGTTTGACTCGATAATTTGATGCCTCTTTTCAAGCCTTCGCCTGCTCATGAATACATTACTTTGGGAAATTCCCTGAATTGGAATTGCCATCTTTGGATTATAAATTATAAAGTTCATGGACATCCATTCCTCAGGCTCTCTGACAGAAGCAGACCAAGTCTAGGTGTCCATGGGACCACCACACTCTGCATGGTGACCAGCAGTCGGCCTGTCCCTGCCTCCTCTGGGCCTGCCAGCAGGTACTCCATACCTGAAGAAGGAGGAAAATTGGTTTAATCGGAAAATAAATCCATCTTTATGGTGTTAGATTAATATTACAATCTTGAGTTAATGTTGGGTCACCTTATCATTTATTATTATAATGCCTAGCACCTGGGAAAACATACAGCTTCTATATGAACATTGCTTTGTGTAACTTCAACAATTTATTTTTATTTTATAGAAACCATTCTAACCTGGGTTTAAAATTGGACAGGTGCAGCCTCGGCTGGTCCAAGACAGAGGATAGATGCTGATGGTCCCAAACTTGAGAGCCAAATGGCCTAATCGAAGGACCTTGCAGACTTTGACCTGCACTTCTGCATGGCTGCCTTTGTCGTGAGCAGACAGCACACTGGCCTTGATCACTGTCATGGTAACACAGTTATACAGGAGACTGACGAGTCAAAAAGAAATACAGATCAAAGTTTAACAAAAAGGTTTTGAACAACTTGGAATAATAGTTCATTACTTACCATAATCATGTTTGGTCTTACAGAGGTCAGACACACTTCTCAGCTTTTTCTCCTTACAGCTACACTTCCCTGTGTACAGACATTCAGTTATTATCTGATCCACTTTAATGTGCGTTTTTAAAAGTTAAGCCAGGCAGATGAACATCTAGAAATATTCTGTGAGGGTTCTCGGTCATCCTGTGGGAAATATATCAAACTCTTTTCAAAGGGCAGCTGGACTTATTTGAAGTCCTTGAAGACATTCCACTAGTTGGAGTTGGAATGAAAAGACATCTTCAACAACTTTAACTAAGTCCTTTTGGATAAAACTTTATAAAAACATCCATCCTATCAATGAACAACAAAGAGAGCATTTCAACGTCAGTTGTTACAAACTCACCTGTATAATGTAGAGCAGAGACTGCCTGATCCTTCGACCACTGCCCTTCTTCTTCCATTGTGAGGATATGATCCAGAGCAGGGACTTTTCCACCGATGGGCACATTGAACACCTGATTATTTGAGTAGCTGCAAATTTGAATTGAATATGCCAAGTCAAGGTTTTGTGTTAGCAATTCATCACATGGAGTTCAATTCTGAGGCCATGGCTTACCTGTCCAGACACTGCCCAGTGGTCTGATCACAGCTATGAGAGCAGGCACATGGTTTACAGCCCTCCTCTCCAAAACCCCAATAACCAGGCAGGCATTGGCTGCAGCTGGTGCCCCCTACCCCAGATTTACAGTGGCACTGACCACTTCTAGGGTGGCACCAAGGTCCCTGTTCTCCAGTATGAGGAGGCTTTGTGCCCTGTGGATCACACCAGCAGCCTGTGAAATAGACACAGGCATAGTTCTGTTAGCTGCTCAACATGAAGTATGACTTTTCTTTTAATGTTAAGTAATGCATTTACAAACAGATGCCGGCAGATGGCGCCTCAAAAAATTGTAGTTCTGTTGGATGTGAACCACAGACTTGTAGATTATTCAAACAAGATCAATTCAAAACTCCTTTAATTTGTTGGTTTTTTAAATTTGTTTTGTTTTGTTTTTTAATTTCAGATTAATTGAAAACACATCAGGCTATCACCCTGCCCCTGTCTTTGTCTCTTACGCATGCAAACATGTGGAGAGTTGAGAGGCAGAGATGGGTGTCGGTGGTAGCCGTGGCGACAGCGCTGGCACCTGCGGCCAGCAGTGTTATGTCCGCAGTCATCACAAACCCCTCCACTGGTGCCCCCGGAGGAAATCCACACCCGCTGAGAGAAATGACAGCTATCCGTGTGACTATGGCACTCGCACTCTGACATTGCAGCGGTGGGTGATGTCACAGCAGTCGGAGAGATGACAAAGGGATAGAGTAGAGAAGAAGGAAGAAGTCTTTATTTCAAAGTGAATACTACCACACATATCCTCTGATACTTTTTCCATACTCTTTGTTCTCATTTTTTTTTAGGACCAAGATGTATCCCCTACCATCACTTACTCTGACATGGGTTTGGTTCTCCACTGCTGCTGTTTGCAGGCCTCCAGGGACGGTCATTGTAGAGCGGGGCACACTCCTCACAGTGATCCCCTGCTGTGTTGTGAGTGCACAGACACCTACCAGACACCTGGAAGACACATCTGGGGCTACATCAGACCTTACAGCTGTCTAGAGACAGCTATAAAACACATCCACGTAGGTGGCTTCAAGTTTTTTCCAGTAGAATGAACATTTGACATCTGGACCAGTACGGTCAGACCTGTGTTACACAAGACTGTAATAGAAAACAGGCCATAGCAGAAACTGATGTACTCACTTATAGTTTATCACTGGCTGTTGTCCATTTACTATGGCATGAACTTACACACAAAGAAAAACCCACTCACCATGTTACTGTCTTGTCCTTTTCCTTTGCTGCTGTTCTGTGGTTCACATTGCTCAGCATGCCCATGGCACAGGCAGGTCCCTCTTGCCAGTAAAGTATAAATAGCATAAGGTGCTGAGGCCGAGCTCTCTGCGGTGGATGTGGAGGTCAGAGCTGAAGCTGCTGGGCTGGTCTGCTCTGCTGGGGGACTTAGGGGATAAGGACAGCTCTGAGGTTTAAGCAGTCTAATGCGGAGGTTAGTGAGGGTGATTCGGGCTAGTACCCCTGGACTGTAAAGGTCCAGCGTTTTAGCACTGATGGGGTCTAGTGTCCGGATAATTACCTGCCAGAGGAAACAAAAATCAGCACTGAATGAATATTTTTTGATCTCCTTATTAAGTGTTCATTGCCTTTGGTGCATATTCTCTTACCTCCCCCTTGCTGCAGGGTGTAGCACTGGTATAACGAGATGTACACAAAGAGCCTGGCTGAGAATAATCATCAAGCAAACCAAACTCCAAGCTGCAATTGTGCGCAAAGAGCTTAAAAGTTTCCCAGGTCTTTCCAAAGTCAGCTGAACGTTCAATGGCCATGGCAGCTGGCCGAGGGGACCTGAACACCAATACCACGTGGGACAGACAGAACTGTGTTTCCAGGTCCAACCAGATCTCATCCTGTTTCTCCTGCACTGTAGTACCTAAAGCTGATGCCCACCAGGTGTCTGGATACAGGAAAGGGTTGTCTGTCATGTGGGCAGATGGATGGGTGTGCTCAGAGCAGAGGTGGAGGTTAGCAGGGGGTTGGGGGCACAGGGGGTGGTGGAAGGAGCTGTTCCCACAGCAGCCTGAGAGGGTGAAGAGAGTCCTGCCACCCGCCAGGTTCCCTATAGGTGGACTACAGGCCTGGTCCACACATCTTGAAACTGGCAAAGGGTGAGAGAGAGTCAATATGACAATGTTATGAAATATTAACTAAAGTGTTAAGATGGTACAGTGATTTTAAATCGGCCAATTTAAAAATATATATATTTTGATATATATATATTCTTTTTTCATTGTGTTTGTCATGAATATTTAATTAGTATGACCATTGAGCTTGCTGAATCCTGACCTATCCCCACAGCATTTATACTCTCCGGTTACATGTAATGTTAAGGGCTACCAAGCTATCACGTTTAATCAGTACCAGGTATGGCTTCAGGAGAGCAAAAAAGGGAACTCAAACGTCACCTCCTATTGGAGAACCACGTCCAGTAAGACATCATTACGTATAGGCTACGTTTAATCTACAATTAACACAGTTTATTAGTCACTGTAAATATATTTCCAATTAAAAAATAGCATATCCAAGGGATACATTAAAAGGGTCAGGTTAGCTACAGTGGCGCAACTGATTCTTAGGGACAGCAGAACATCCACCGAGATGATGATGATGCTCACCTGCTCCGCTCCTCGTTACAACCAAAAACAGCCAACAGAGCGCGGCCAGCATCTGATGTCGATCTTTCAGCATACTAAACACTTGTATCCTTGTTTCTTTGTTTACAATATGCATGGAGCGACACATGCCTTTCAGCAGAGTTTAGTCCTGACATTATGTGCAGCCTATAAGGACAAGCGCATTTCTCTGCCAATTACGCAATGCGCAAAGCGTCCAGGAATTTTTCCCCGATGCCCTCCCTGGATTAATGTTTGGGAAAGAAAATCTTTGAGAAAGTTCAAAGCATCATCAGGAGCAGCATGGGCATCTTTCTAACAGGACATGTGCCCGGTGCCCGGTTGGATAATCAGCTAGTCCAAAATGAGCAGTCCACATTCAACGAAATGTAACCAAGAGACAGTTGCCGACTTCGATTTTGCTCAAGAAACGCGTCCAGGCAAAACAGCTTAACGATGAAAATGATGTATCCTTTAATATGAAAATACAGT